GAGATATGCCTGGTTGCTGGATGTAACTGGCGGCCATAACGGCTGAGAAACAAGAGACCTACTAGTTTCAAGTTTTCAAATGATTTTCAAGCTGCTCATCATGTGAATCTTGTCGTCATTGTGTGAACTCGGTGTGATGAATGCATGCTGAAGCAGAAGTAAAACTGGTCTGATTTGAGTGTCGTGGCACTTTCGTCTTCATCATTAGTTTCTGCCATCTGTACCTATTGTAATTCACGACCTTGTTGCCAATGTGTGTGCACTGTGACTTGCATCCTTGGCTGTGCTATGTCGGTGTGAACCTGGCTATGTTCAGATGCTGCTTTGGGTGCTTACAACGAACTTCTTCCTCGGTAAGTGATTGTGCAATTCTTCTGCTGTCATTTCTTTCTGTGACTGTGCGCAGTGCCCTAGAAACTGATTGTGCAAAAATGGCAGCAATCTACTAATTTGCCAGGAAATCAATGGTGGCCCATAATTTTTTAAAAGGATTTCTACTCTTGCGAGTTGCAGACTTTACCTGTTCACTTTCTTTTGTTTTTTTTTGTCTGGTGGCACTGGGGCCTTAATAGTATACATTTAACTCAAATTAACTGCTAATAAACAGATTCAGCTCGGATGCTGATGGATAAAACAATGCTGGGTGCCTTCCCCCCATCTCCCCCCCGCCCCTCTTGCGGATCTTTACAACATAGAGAAAAAGGGTAAGAGAAGCCCACCATTCTGTGTGGGAAATAATGTGAAGCGGTTTGGTACTTTCATGGCTAAGCAATCACAAAAAAGACCGGCCTGTTGGTACTACATACAATTAAAATTATGACAAGAGGAATGTGAAACATTGACCATGCTTGTTGTGCAACCCTGGTGGACACACACTTACACAGCACACCGCCTTTTCATACGCAACAGCTTATGTGTAGTGCTACTATACATGTCAGGGAATCATTTAGGGCGAGTGGACCGAAAAACACAAGGCAATTTTGTGTAAGAAAACGAGAGTTGTGGGGCATCTGAGCCACCTATATGTTGTCACTGTAGTGTAATTAGAAAGGTTAGAGAATCATGTAGGGCCAGTGGAGGACAGAGAAACACAGGGTAGCCTTCTGTAAGGAAATGGGAGTGCAGGGCCTGAAGAGCAAGAGTGAGCTCCCAGCCTGAGAGCAGTGTCTAAATGTGAGTTTGTTTGAATGGTCAAGTTGTGGTAAGGGATGTGCTGGGAAAGACGATGATCAAGCAAGTTGAAACGGTATTCACCTGTTAGCAGTAGCGAATGCAGACCCCAGGGTTCGATCCCTAGTTCTTACCTTGCCTGTGTACAGTATCTGTGTCGACCCCGAGAGTTGAACCCGTGACTTGTGTATTCACAGCAGTTGGTAGGCTGGCGTAGGTCCATAGGTGGTAGGGGTTCGATCTGTGGACCTATTGGAAAGAGATCTTAGTGAGGCCTAGAGGTCGTAGATGCCGGTGTCCTGAGAAGTCAAGGTCGTAGCTGCTACAGTGTTCAAAAGGCCAAGTCTGCAGCCTTCCGGAAGGTCCTAGTGGTGGCCTTTCGAAGTATTGCTCACATTTAGACAGAGGCAAGTGGGCAAGCGGTGAGCCCAACTGCGGTACGTTGGCAGTGCGACTGCATTGAGTTGGCAG